AATGTGAAAAAAATAACTAGGACAAACCCCAAATAAGTCCAGAAATATATGTATTTAGAGCTTCTTCAATGGTAATCCGTGAAATAATATCCGCAATGTATAAAGTATTGCGAGCATCAAAGTGTAAAATTAATTTTTTATTTTTATATGGGAGTTTTTTTGAACCAGTTTTATTGGACAAATGCGAACATTTCTCACTCATCCCAAATTATAAACCGTAGTATGCGGTGCTTATTCTTTGACCCGAATATGATAAAACAATTCATTTAAACAAAATATTTATTTAATTAATTGATTCTAAAATACTTTTATTTTAATTTTAAAATGTTTATTTATTATTCATATTAATTTTTACAACGACAATTTTTTAACTATTTTGTTACTGCTATTTTTAGTTGGCGGTTAGTTTTACCGTCATTCCTTCGATGGATCAATGGGCTTATGTCAAAAATATTCTTCAACGTAATGGGCCTCTTCAAAGAAAGGAATTTGAGGCTTCACATGAAGTAATAAAGAATAATTTTTTCGTATATATTTTTTAAGCTTTTTGGTATGGTTCGCAACCACGTGCGCCTACTCGTCATTGGCGCTGGAGGCCTGGGATGTGAACTCCTCAAGGATTTGGTAGCTTTATTCTAATTCAATAGTAATATTCTAGGCTTTAATGGGGTTTAGCAACATTGATGTTATCGATATGGATACTATAGATATCTCGAATCTAAATAGGCAATTTCTTTTTCGAACGAAAGATATAGGCCGCTCTAAAGCCGAAGTCGCTGCTGAATTTATCATGAAAAGGATTCCATCCTGTAAAGTCATCCCACATTTCAACAAAATTCAAGACTTCGGCGACAACTTTTATAGGCAGTTTAATGTTGTCGTTTGTGGTCTTGATTCGGTTCTTGCAAGGCGTTGGATAAATAGCACATTGGTACATTTCGGCTAAGTGAAATACCTTCTACCACTTATATTTTGTGAGATTTTTTTCTTAAAGGTTATCCTGTTTTTCTCTTTTTTCTGCTTTTTCTTAAACTTGTTTTTTTTCCTTTACTCTTCCCGATATAAATAGACATGTATATACCATCTTCATAAAATTCTAATTTGTTTATTTGTTCAGGCCGGCCTTGTCCGCTATGATTCTTCAGGAGTTCCTGACCCCCACACCGTGATCCCTCTAGTTGATGGTGGAACTGAGGGATTCAGGGGTAATAGTCTTGTTATCTTGTTCGGTCACACTGGCTGCCTTGAGTGCGCGCTTGACCTTTATCCACCTCAAGTTAACTTCCCCCTTTGCACAATAGCTCACACACCTCGTCTCCCGGAGCACTGCATTGAGTTTGCTCGGGTTCTCCTGTGGCCACAAGAAAAACCCTTCGGAGGTGAGTATTTGTCCTTACATTTCTTTGAATTGTTCATTTTTTATAGCTGAGAAGTTACCTACATTGTTGCTTAAATCTCATTTACATTTATCTGGTGATCAAGATTGTGCTGCCTTTAGTGCGTTCTTTGTTCCTTTTGCCTCAGACTTTTTCGTAATTTCATTGTATTTGCTTTGAGACTCCGTAAAATATACTTATTGCTGTGCTCATTTTTTTCGTCATTCATATTGGCTACGAATCGTTGCATGTCTTCTCTTGATACTCCATCAAATATAGTCATAATTGAAAAAAAAACGTTCCATTTTTATTTGGGGTTTTTATTTCTGATTTTTCTCTTGTCTTTGCATACATGACCAATATTTTCTGTTTGAGCGTACTTTTGATTCTATGTTATTAATAATCAATTTCTACGCTGTCATGAATTCTTTTCAGCTTCAGTAGAACTAGATGCTGATATACCTGAACATATTCAGTGGATATATGAAAAGGCATTGGTTCGAGCTTCGGAGTTTGGTATTTCTGGTATAACCATGCGATTGGTTAAAGGGGTGATCAAACGCATCATTCCTGCTGTGGCCTCTACCAATGCGATCATTGCTGCCTCTTGCGCAACCGAGGTGAGCTTTGGAACTGCAATCATAATTTATCTCGGTCTTTTTTGAGCTTAAAGTGGTTAATTAGAGGCATGAAGATCAAGATGGTGTGGCCTTTATATGGTCGCAGTCTCCTTTCGTTGTACAGAAGTTGTTTGACCTTGTTTTTGCAACTTGGTCATATTGGTAGGAAGACCTAGAGGAACGCTTCTAGTCCGGAGTCCATAGTATGCATGATAATTTCCATAGTCGGACTGTGGACGGGGTACATTCCAAGACGTTTCGCCGGCATCTTGGCCAATGCACTTTTAAATGGCAAAAATCCTAATATCCCATGTATTTATAATTAAGACTACTGATCCAGTTACTTGAATGGAGTAAGAGTTGTTTCATGTCATCCGATGCCTCAAACATATTTTAAGTCTTCCAATAAATTTCAGTTTCCTGTTTTATGATATATTATTCGCTTTATATGATTCATTTCGAATTGATTTTGCTTCTATGACTTTTTTCATTGAATTCTGCCTATATTAATTCGACCCTTATTTTTCTTATCTCTAACAGGTTTTTAAACTGGTCACCTTCTGCTATGACTATTTAAACAATTATATGAACTTCAATGACGCAGATGGCATCTATACCTACACTTTCCCTATCGAACGAAAGGTCGTGGCAGCATCCCTCATATTTTGATTCATTATTTCGTTTTGTTGCTCTTAGAGATAGTAAAAATTTTCCAAG